GTTCTTAAAGGCATTCACACTAGGGGAGGTTACAACCTCGTCAGGGAGCTGATTCCACTGTTATGCACCACTCGATTTGTGAAAAAATTCTTCCTGGAAAGTCTGTGACAAAGTTCGGTGGAGAGCTTCAAGGAGTGTCCACGCAGATGAGAGTTGATATTTCTGTGAAAGAAATCAATGTCGCATGTGTAATGATTATGTAGAATTTTGTATGTTTCGATTAAGGATCCTCTATTTCTGCGTTCCTCCAGAGTTGTCAGATTAAGAGCTTTCAGTCGTTCTTCATAAGACAATTCTCTTAAAGATGGTGGAATTTTGGTTGCACTCCTCTGGACACGCTCAATCAGATCTATGTCTTTTCTGAAATAGGGACACCAAACCACAACAGCATGCTTCAGCAGTGTTCTGATGTAGGTTTTGTAGGCTCGGAGAAACACTTCAGGGGACATTTCCCTAAAACAGCGTCGTATCAGATAGACTGTTGAGTTGGCTCGCTTAACAATTACATGTATGTGCTGTTCCCATTTTAGGTCATGTGAGATATTTACTCCTAAGTCGTCCTGCTCACTCACCCTTCCCAAGTTGTTATTGCCCATATGGTAGTCCAGCATGGGATGGTTGTATCCAATGTGCAACACACAACATTTGCTGACATTAAGTTTCAATAACCAGTCCTTCGTCCACCTATCCAGCTCAGCAAAATCCTCAACCATGGCACCATGTTGAAATGTAGGGTCACAGAATATCTTGGTGTCATCGGCATACATACTGGTCCTACAGGACATGTTCTGGGCAATATCTGAGACATAAATTATAAATAGAAGTGGGCCCAGCACAGAGCCCTGTGGAATTCCACTGACTACACTGTGGTGGCCAGATAAGGTGTCATTTATTTTGACTTGGTATGTCCGACTACACAAGTAGTCCCGTATCCATCGAAGCAGCCGACCCCGTATACCACAATGCTCAAGCTTGTGGAGCAGTCTCTCTGGAGGAACAGTGTCAAACGTCTTTTCAAAGTCGAGGTACACAACGTCAATTGGATAATGTCCTGCAGATAACTTAGTCCAGTGTTCCAGACTGGACAGGAGATTGGATGTAACTGATTTCCCCGGCAGAAAACCATGCTGATTGGATAGTCGATCACCATGATGGGTCATAAGGAATTCTGTCATTTCAGTAGCTATAATCTTTTCCAAACATTTGCAGGGTGTTGATGTTAAACTGATAGGCCTATAGTTTTCGGCTAAGTGTTTATCGCCTTTCTTATAGATCGGAATGACAGTTGCATTTTTCTACGTTTCTGGTACTATGCCATCTGTAAATGATTGTGTCCTTGTTTTTGTAAGGATTCCACTCATGGTCGCGCTGCAGTTTTTTAGCAATATTGGGGATACATCATCAGGTCCTGGACTGGCAGAGAGCTTCAGATCAAGCAGCACCTTTTTCACCTTCTGTGGGGTGAAAACAATATTTTCAAGTGTTGGTCCTGACCGTCCGGCTGCGCGAAGTTGTGGTATAGTTGTTGTGTCTTCGTGTATAAATAATCTGTCAAATTGATTGCTGAATATTTTCCCTACTCTTTGTAGTTCAGGCTCAAGATGGTTGTACAAAGTTTTGAAGCCTAGATTGAAGCGAATGGTTGATATACTGGTAGAACCTTGTTGGACCCTGCTCTAGGAGACTGCTCTCAGAAGTCGACGGAGCATTTCTTAATGTTTGGGTGATTTGGTTTTTTAGCAAATTGTATGCCCATAATTCTTACCAGAACCTCTGTATAAATGCCATGCTTTTCTTTTTTGGTTTATCAATTTAACATGAGCTCTAGTAATCCACGGTGTTTTGAAGGTCTCCACTTGACGCTGAAGAGGCACATAGACTTCTGATATGTGGTCCACTACGTCGTCAAAGTTACCATAATAGGTTGTGCTGTTGTTTGGTTACCATTGCTCGAGAAAATGATTTATGGCGTCGTAGTCTCCCTTCCAGTGGTTTTTGTGTCTTTTTACAGCTTTGACAACTGGAATAAGAGTCAGCTGGGCTGTGGTCACAACAGTAACATGATCGGTCTTACCTATTGGGGGTGCAGACGTAATACTTGTCACCAACCTTTCATCTGATTCCAAGAACAAGTCAAGTAATGAGGGGACAGTACCCTCCCGAAAACGAGTATTAAAGTCGAATAACTGATGCAGTCTTGATTCCTGGTAGGCCAGTAAAAATTCTTCAGCAGGCACACTACGTTTAGTCACTTTACCGGTGGACCAATCTATTTCAGGGTAATAAAAATCACCATAAATTATTGTGGTGAAAGAATCTTTTAGTCTGTTTAGCATATCTACAATCAAGTTGTTATCCTCAGACAATCATCCAGGAGGTCGGTGAATAGACCCTACCCGCAGCCGGACAGCACCAAACCTCAGGTCGACAAAAACACTATCCACCACAGTTAGCCCAACATTAAATTCTTCTTGCCTCACACAGGAGACTTGATGGCCCTGAATACAATTTTTGATATAGATACCCACCCCTCCAGCTTTCTTATTTGCCCATAGTCATTTATGGTTGTGCGATCCTTTCTGAATAATCTGTAGCAATGTACCTATACCAATCAAAGAGTCTGGTATGTGTGTGTTCAACCATGTTTCAGTGATAAAAATTAGGTCTGGCTTTCTCTCTAGAATTTCAATGACAAATTCATCAAAGTTGGACATGATAGAGCATAAATTGGTACACGATATCAATATAGAGGAGTAGGTTTGGGCATTTAGTTTTTTGAGTGGTCAGTACTGGGGCCATGTACCCCAGATGGTCTAACCTTGATTATTTTTGGAAGACCACTGAAGTATTTAATTTTAAGGTTATTGCTACGAAATCCAGAAAAACGGCGTCCGCCAGGCTGTCAAGAATCGATGGCGGAAATACTAGAATCTAGCGAATTATTCTACTTTAATCTGGAAAATTAGATTATCGGGTGTATTCTAGATTTTACAGGAATAGATTTAGGGATATATAAGAAGGCCGGCATTGATTTGTAAGTAAGTTTCAGTTCGAGTGTGATACGATTTAAATAGTGATTGTAAAGAGTTTAATTGTTGAGTTTGTTAATAAAGTAATTAGTGTCAGAGTGTTTTAAGTGGAATAAATTATTGCTGTGTTAATTGGACTTTGATTTTTGGAATAAACGAAACGAGCAACGAACCCAAGATTTTTGTCAGCAGGCAACCCAAAGCCGCGACATTATCTTCCCCATGGTTAACTCTTTTTTACATTTCTGTTAACAGTTTCTTGAGGTAGCTTCGCTGCAGGCTTGTTTGTCATACTTTATATACATACTGCTCTCTTTAGGTAGATTATTTTTGTTATGAAGCACTTTACGAGCTTCCTCCTTTGGGGCAAAAATCACCTTGATTGGCCTTCTTTTCTCTGGATTGTAGATTCCTACCCTGACAATGACAACTTTAAGGTTTCCTTTGGCCGTTTCGCTGCTGACACAATCCAGTACCCCCTCAACCACCTTCACGTCATTCACTTTTTTTTCACCAACACTGTTACTCCTGGACTCTTCAGCCCCAAGTGTAGATTGCATTCCCTCCGACTGCTGATTTCCAGAGACTGTATGCACAACTGGGGTTGTAATCTTGTTGCTTAACTCTTTTTAAAGCTTTTGTTTCTTCCTTCAGGTTGGAAACGATATCGGCATAGCTTGGAGCACTAGAGGATGAGTTTTTTAGATCTTGAATCTCCATTTGCATTCTAACTAGTTCTGTTTTGAAATTAGCTATGCTTGATACTTCATTGGCTAGTATCTTTAGATCCTTGATCTCCTTCTAAATCTGAGGTATTTTTTTGTTAAGTGTAGGCAGAAGCTTTATTGTTTCACTGCAGTTGTCGCAGAAAAAGAACATTGTCCTATTTGCCAGAAGAACTGCTCGAATTTCAGTGCTTGTTATTTTTGAACAATTTCTGCATATATTATATTTTTACAACAACAAGTTACCTAATGTTTAATATTTGATTCCAAATATACCAGTCCTATATCTACAAAAATACTTAAAAAATGTATGTTGTGTTATTCTCGAAAATCAGCAGTATGAGAATTACTTTCCAGGCCTAGACCGGAAAAATTATTTCCGTACTGTTATATCTACCGAGTCATTAGCAACCATTGAAAATACCAGAATATGGAGTTTGCGACCTGTCAACAGGCCAAAAATGCCGATATTTTTTTGTCAATCGCAGAAAAACTATTTTTGCATGAAATCCTTCATCATTAAGCACGAACTTCGATGTACAGGTCACCTCGTCCGAGTCGTCCGCATGTCTAGAACACGTCTTCGACGACAGATTCTCTACAGTCAACCGAAAGAGGGAGGGGTCCAACAAAAACGTTACAAAGATGTTCTAAAGGAGACTGTGGCAATGTGCCGCATCGATACCAGCAACGGGGAAAGGATGCCAAATAATGATAAGCCCTCATGGCGTCGAGTAGTCCACGACGGACCACAAACTTTTGAAGAACAGCGACGTAGACTCGAGATTGAAAGGAGCGACCTCAGGAAGGAGTGAGACAACAGAGGAAAAGACGATGTTCGATGTTGCCAGAGACTGCACGCCATCAAAAAAGCACAATCAATGATAATAAGAATAGAATGGAAGATAATTATACTTGGTATCAAGTGATTAGATGGACAACTTCATAATGAAATTTGAAATTTAAGAAAATACCAAAACCGATATGTGTGCCTTCCCTCAATTGATGATCGTTTCCATATATCTAAAACAGCTTCGTTTTCGTCTTCTTCGTTTAGGACGTCTCTTGGACAAATGTTTCTCTTTGACGTAATGTCATTGATAATCACGAGTAACTCATTAAATTTTAAGATCTTTGTGCCTGTAATTTACATCATCAGATCTGCTTTAAAGATGAAGCTTCAAAGATTATCCAAATAAATTGCAATAATTGACTTTAATTTCAAATAATCTTTTATTTTCCGCAGGGTGAAGTTTGTGCATCCAGAAGACATCAAGGTCTGCAATTTGTTATACCCGCAGTAAAATTTTTGGCTTAGTTTTTCGGCTGTTTTTTATTGCGAAATGAATAAAACGAAAACCAAAAAGTATCGTGTTAAAGAAAATGATCCTGTTTGGGCTAAAATGAACGGTAAGTAATCATGGTGATTATTGATTTGTATTTTTTTTTTAATTTTAACGCTAATTGCTACTAGGTTTGTGTCACTGGCCAGCCATTGTCACGAAAAAAACCATGACGTCTTCGAACAGTTCAAAATTTTTGCGTTGGGTTTATTTCCTAGACCATCATAAGTACGCCTGGGTTGAAGACACAAACATCAAGCCTTATGAGGAATTTAAACGGCATTTCGGAAGGAAAAGCGTTGAACCTGCAATGAAGGAAATGGAAAAAATTATTGCAAATAAGACGAGAGATCCAAAGTATAAAGTAATATTTCCAATTCACGTAAAAAAGGAAAAATCAAACGCAGTTACTAAAAAGAGATCGGTGCCAAAAAGGGAATGTAACACTCCTAAACCCAAAAAGGAAGCTAAACTTTCCATCCCTGCTTCATCTAGTGACAAAAAAAATCTACTTCAGCCAGTAAATTTGAGTGCCCATCGTGTCGTTACTTCAAAGAAGTTTTTCGGAATTTTGGCTAGTAACGTTAATTATGCTAGAGGGATTATCAAGGTAAGAAAATGGTTAGGCATAAAGTTTGTTCTCGATTACTCTTTTCGCAGAAACTCATCTCTTCAGGGCACCAACTTTACATATGGAGCCCGAGCTTTTTAATTACCCAAGAGATGCGAGGTTATGCCGAACAACAAGGATCTTTTTTAAGAATTTGCGATAATCAGAGCGAAGTGGTAAGTTGAAACACATGAACATTACCTAACGAAGGTGTCAATATTGAAAATGAAGACACATTTCATATGCGAACTACAACTTTTAGGTCAATAATAAATGGCTGAAGTGTAGGTATTGAAATTTGTTTTTTTTTTAATAGCTCTGTATAATCTTACATATTTTAGGATTCAATTTTTAAATACCTGTCTGTTATAGTAATCAATATTTCTTCAGGTTAAACACTCTCAGATAATATTCAGCTGTCTCTTGAATCCTGAAGAAGCCGAAGCTATGATAAACAGAATAGATTCAAATGAGGAATCTTTGAACGGTAAAGGGTACGTGGAAATGACTACCATAGGACCTAAGTTGTCTCAAGATTTCAATGAGTTGGTGACCAACAAGGGGGGCGTTTATTTGGAAGCAATGGTAGGTTTTTTAAAAGTATGTCAAGCTAGTTTTTCAATAAATTGTTTTAGTTGCAAGGAGACAAACAAGATAGTAATGAAGGGGATTTGATTGTGTTGGCAGCTGGATCGGAACAGCTTTTTAACGATTGCATGTCTTGCTTCGGATCTATGTCAAGGGTAAGAATCCCCAACAATATTTTTTTTTAAATTCATTCAATCTAATGTGTATATTATTGTTTATCCACATTCGAAATAACTTTAAATCTAATGGGGGTACGTAGGTATCACTTTGATAGAAACAAAAAATCTTAGACTTGGACTAAGATGATTGATGATGTTCCATATAAAACGTAATTTTGTTTTTAGGAAGTATTTCTACTAGGTAGAGTAGGTTCAGCTTCCGGCTTGCATATTGTATGCCAAATGATGAGAGGAGTCCTTGTGTCATGCTTAGCGGAGGGCTTTGCATTGGCAGATCGGTGTGGCGTTGACCTTGACGCATTTAATCATATTTTCAAGCAGACGTGCATGATCAGCGAATACTTGAAAAGTGAGTACTGGGTGTTCCAATGAGGACTAAATAGGAGCTTATTTTTGAATTTCCCTGTATCTTTGAGAAAATCTAAAATAACTTTCTTATGTATTTTTTTTCTGCAGAAATAAGACATATGAAGCAAAAACAAAAGACTATCGCCATGGATGAGGTATTTTTTAAACGGAACTCTCTGTCTTAAATGATTTTTAGACCAGTTGCATCTTCTCATGCCTTTTATGTTGCAAGTATTTGATAACTTTCTATTTGAAGAGCCACTTAAAAAACATCTTGTACATGGCGTAATTTGCTTCAAATGCATCTTTCATACAATAATTGAATTCTGCAGAAAAAAGTACATAAGATATAGGTAACTGGGAAAGTCACAAAATAAGCCCTTTTCGGTCCTCATTATTGGAACACCCAATCGATTAAATTTATTTTTTCGTTTCTCTGGAATGCTCTGCACACGATCCCATAATGACTATCTTCTATAAGTTGTTTTATTTTTTTTCTAGAAAAAGGTGATAAATTAGCTAAGACGAGTTTCGTTGAAGTTGACGAACCACTTCAAAAACTCCATCAAGACTTAATTCAAGGACTGGATCTATCTGACACGATTGGAGCATCATCGCAAATGGCAGCAATGGTGAATGAACAACTGAAAAGATCCATTAGAAGGGGACACGCTGACATGGATGTTGCATCGGTTTATGCAGGCATCCGATACTAGAATAATTAGTAGAACGGGGTCATTTTGGCACTGGGGGTAACTGGCACATGAGTCATGTCTTTTTCTCTATATACATGTTGTTTTATGCAATGATCTAATGTTAAGTTATTAGAGTTAAGTTCATCAAGTTTTTACAACAAAGCCAAGTGATGGTATTTAAAAAAAAAAATGGTCACAATCGAAAAATGAATCAAAAACGGTGCCAAAGAAAACTTTTGAAGCAGTCTTCTTGCTTATTTCAAGCGAAATACATAGCCTGCCAAAGTTACCCCAATCGTTTGCCTACCTTGGCAGCCTCTAAACAATTTTTTTTCTCAGTTATCTTCCCATATTTCCCATTCAAATTTTCAGCATTTACAGCCTCATTGATGTTTGTTACAATGAGATTTTTCCTTGTAGATTATGTGTGAAGGTTTTAGGTCTATTGTTAAATAATCATATGTCCTAAAATCTGCCAAAGTAACCCCGTTTTACATAGGTACTTCTTTACTATAGCTTTATACAAGTTTGAATCAATTGCAGTTTAAATTTCGAAATTTGTGATAGCCGAGCCGTTGTCATTTTAATTGATAAACTGTGTGATTATTTTCTAGAACGGTCCTGTTTTTTAAACTCGAATAAAGCTTATAGGTATCATTTTTTTCTTAGTCTTAGTTATTTTTCTTTATTATTTTTTTTTTTCATTAATAATAACCGACGAAAGTATTATAGCCAATGAATTATTGAAAAATTCACGTAGAATAGGAGACAATAGCATGAATGGTTGGCTTTTTTTTCACATTATTTTTTCTTATTTAGTCTTAGTTTCTTATTGTTGTACTTCCTAATTTTGTTTTGTTTGTTTTTCTTTTCCAAAAAAATAATTAAGTTTTGTGTTTTTGTTTTGTCATTAGCTTTTAAATTTTTTTTATTGATTTGATAAATCGCAAATTAGTTTCCTTTTCCAAAGAAATAAGTACAAATCACTAACATTGTAAATGATCTGATAACTGATGACAATAAGCAAATTATGGTAGGTACTTTATATTAGTTATAGTAAGTGTATAAGGGTATAAGGGAAACAATTATATTAATATAAAAGGGATATTGTCTTATTTATTGGGAATTCAGTACACTTTTACAGGTCATAGCAGAGAAGGAATAATTTGGGGTGGACTAATAGTGGTAGCAGTAGCCTTCAAAAACGGAAAGGTGATACATATAAAAAGGAAGAAAATAGCAATCTAAATAACTACCGCCCAATATCGTTGTTACCAGTCCTGTCGAAGGTGTTCGAATACCTTCTGAAAGAACAACTATGTGCATATTGTGAAAAAACCAGTTTGTTTGCGACTTGGCAATTTTTTTGGTTTATAGCCGGTTCTTCCACCACTTGGCCACACTGGACCCACATAACAAAACTGCATCCTTAGAATGTATTAAGAATGTTCTTTTATTAGGACGAATGTGCCTAGAATGTTCGCCAAAACCATTGCGAATGTCCTGAGAATGTTCTGAGAAAAGATTGTAGAAATACTGTTTGCAATACCCAAGAACTTCCTGGGAAATCCATTAGGATATTCCTAGAATATACCTATGAGATTCTCAGTACATCCTGAAAAGAATATTCCTGTTTGATTCTAAAAATATGCTCGAAATGTATATTCTCACATTTAAAGAATGTTTCTATGACATTATAGTTATGTTCTCAAAAGAATATTATACCAATATGCTTGAAATATTCTTAGAATATATCTACATATATCACTCTCAATATGCATCCTAGACATAACATTCTTGGTTGATTCTAAGGATATACTTGGAATGTTAATTTTCGCTTTCAAATAATGCTCCTTTCAGCCCTTTTATATTAAAGGCAGTGAAAGAGTTGTTGGAAAATTTCTCTGGAAAACACAAGTATTTAACCAAAGCTCCGGTTTCGAGCTTGTTATGCTCTCGTCGAAGCACGCCAACTGAGAGAAACAGGTTCCAAGGTGATTCAAACGCGAGGCAAGATGTAGATTTTTAATAGCGCGTGGCTCCCTCTCTTGGAAGTCCTACAAAGCAAAAGAAAAAGAATATACCTACCTATAATATTCTTAGTAGGTTCTAGATAGAGCATTATTGTTTATTTGTTAAATTAAGATTTTTGAGTCGGTACTTTAGATAATTAGGTGAACAATGTGAAAATATTCTTATCATGGTTACCTACCTACATAAACTTCTCAGCACAACTTGGTAGGAATATTCTTAATACTTGATAGAGATATTAGCCGAAAGAACATTTTTTAGGGTACATTATAATAATGTTCGTATGACAATATTCAAAGATTGTTATATAAAGTAGGTTCTTAGCACAATCTTTCAGGTAGGTGTATAGAAGCAACATTCCTAGTACATAAATAGAACGTCCAAAAATAAATATTTCAATCGAAACAATCTTAGAATATTCATTAGACATTCCTAAAAGAACATTCCAAAAAGTACTTTGAGGGAATATTCTGAGAATATGAATGTTCTTCCACTGTTATGTGGGGATCTGCTCGGATACGTAGCGGAGGCCTTTGAGGGAGGCCATTATGTGGCTGCAACGTATTGTGACCTCTCAAGGGCTTTCGACTGTGTTTCACATGAGGTAATTATTCAAAAGCTTTCTCTTTGTGGTCTGGATGGTGGAAGTGTGGCTTTGATGAAAAGTTACCTGGAGGACAGGCAGCAGAAAACTACCTACAATGGAGCTAGGTACTTCTAAAAATTGGGAGAAAGTCAGACAGGGTTCAATTTGGGGGACACTACTCTTTCTCATATATCAATGATATAAGTAACGCATCGCCAGATACTGAGTTTTTACTGTTTGCTAAATGCTAATGATACGTCAGTGATTCAAAAAGGGGTAAATCTGGAAGAGTTGATAGTAAGCATAAATGCAAAGATGGATGATCTAAAGAAATGGTTTGTTTCCAATAGTACGTACTTTAAATGAAACAAAAACTGTGAATATGGCGTATGGACTGAGAGAAATAAATGAAAAAGTCTAGGAGGTGAAATTTCTTGGAGTGTGTTTTGATCCTACACTAGAATTCGAAACTCATGTGAACCACACAGCAGAACGACTGACTAAAAGTATCTTTCTGGTAAAAAACTTGTCTCGTGTGCTCCCGGATGGCACATTAATTTTTAACATTACATACATTGTTCCAGTTCATCGCTGTCTACAGTATTCTCACATGGGGGCATTCAACACATACCAAACGTATATTTGCACTGCAGAGAAGGGCCGTGCGTATTGTTGCGAGGCTTGGATATAGAGATGATGTAAAAGAAAACTTTATTGAGTTAAAAATTTTGACAATACCAAACCAGTATATCTATGAGTGTGTTCTTTACTGTAGGAAAAACATTGAGTACTATAATAACAATAGCTCTTATTATGATTACTTAATAACTAGACGCGGGGATAATGGATAATATAAGGGTCGATTTTCACAGGTCAATCAATTATTATTGTTCGGTATTTTACAATAAACTGCCAAATCATGTTAAGAGGAGTATGTCTCAAAAAGCTTTTAATGCCTGCGTGAAACACCACCTCATGGAGGCGGCGTATTATAGTATGAAGGAATTCCTGGACACAGAAATATGTTAAATTTAATGTACTTTATGTATTTCATGTATTTTATTTAGTGTATGCTTCTCTTATTTTGTATAAATTATTGAGTGTTATGTTAGTACTATTTTTTTATCTATTGTAGTATTGACATGTAAAAACACTGTAATTTTGTGTATCTTATGAATAAATTTGAGGGTAGTACTGCGAAAGTATTGACACAGCATATACAAAAACAATCAGCAGGCTAACTCTCACGCGCATCTTTTCTGCGCACGCCGCCATTAGGGGATACCATCCTGTCATTAAACGGCAGAAACGCCGACATTTCAATTTATTTGTTTATTTCTGACGGAGGTCATAGGCGTGCGGTGTAGAGCGGAATTTCAGTTATGATTTTCAAAGTGACTTTAGTATTCGTGTTGTCATTTATGGTGATATCAGTTATCATTCTTGTATATTTAATAATAATAATAAATTAGTAATAATAAATATTATTATATGTGAGTAATAATAATTTAGTTTATTTAAAACCAATACGACTCTGTGACACGAAAGAAAAAATCTAATTTGACGTGTCTCGCAGAAATAGACAAAGAGAGCTTAATTGTAATAAATACAAGTTAGAAAATAATAAAAAATGACATGCGCGCGCAACTCGTGGCTGCAGTGTAGCCAGATTGTATTGTTGCAGAACAAATGTAGACAATACAAATCGAACATTATAACATTAAAGAAGTGATATATTGTCAAGTGTTTTACAACGCCTTAAATCAGATAAAAAAAGAGCTTTAAAGTGTATGTTAACATCGATGGTACTTTTATTTTGATAAATGTTTCATCCGGCAACATCGCACAATGAAATTTCAAAGGAATATGTCGAGTATAATCTAACATAACCTTAAACGACACTGCGATAAGTTCAAAGTAATGCGTAAAGTATTAGTTTGCTCTTTGTCGAATTATACGTTACAAAGAAAGAAGGAATGAATAATTCTGAACTCGTTCCTGAATACGAATATGACGCAAGCCCGTAACAAACTCGATTTCCATTGGACGCTCACCTGCAACCCACAAGTTGCGCGCGCACACCAGGTATTACGAAACACGTCACCAGGAATTCCTTTATTACACGGGCTGTCATTCAAGTTAGCCTGCTGATTGTTTTTGTATATGCTGTGATATTGATACGAGCAAAAAAAATGTTTACTCAAAAACCGCAATTTACAGGAAAAAAAAATCAATAAAACGTAGTTTTTACTTTTCACAGACATCACGGATGACACATATTTTTTTGACCTATGCCGCCATATTGAATCTATTTTTTGGATTGCGATATTTTGTTTTTCATATTATTTGTTTTTAATTTCCATTTTCTGATCAATGCCTGATTCCTCCGAAGACTCCTCGAGTGCATAAATCATATTTCCAGCAATAACCAATGCAAATAGTTCATTCAGAACGAAACAACAGGCAATTTTTCGCGAGGATAACTAAGGCGACGTTCCGTAAGTTAATGTGGTGAAAATGGAACAAGAGGTAATTATTACATTTATTCCTGACGACTGCTTATTACAAATATATTTTTTAAGAGGATAATATTCTATCATCTAGCATCCAAGCCATACCAAAGCTGAACCGAAGCGTTCCACTCATAACCCGCATTTTCAGGAATCAGACTGTTACCTAAGCATACTCGATTATGCTCAGATAATATGTGTTAATTGTGTCATACTCCCCTAACTCCCCACCATCAAATTCTGGGATGCTCGAGGATCAAGAACACCTAACTCCTTCTGTGAGAACAGATCGAAAATCACCTTTTCTATATTTAAAATCGACGAAAAAATTAACTCACTAGCGCAGCCTGGATCGCAAGCATTCCATCGAGGACTGCGGGTGGCGTCATCACAATAGGCTGCTGATTGTGACGTCACTCGCAGGCCCAGACATTGGATGGAGAGGGAATTAGGGAAGTGACACATAACATCTGAGCATAATCTGTTGCTTGATTATCCTCGCGAAAAATTGCCTAACCAACACCCCATCACTTTTACTAGGTTGCGTTCAAGAACCTGTCGTATGAAAATCACACAACTGTCGCCCGAAAAGGCGGAGTGTGAATAAAAATCACACGGTTTTCGACGTCGGAAAGGTGTTTGTCACGCAAGGATGATACACACTACTACTACAGGATGGCCTATCCTCATAAGGCCCTGGGTGTAACAAATCCCCCCCTTACCTCCCTGGCTGCGTTCAAAAACGGCTAAAGACAAGCCAAAATTGGCATATTGCGTTCAAGTTCGGCTCCAGCATGCGAAAAACGGTTGGCTTTACACTTTCAAAATCAGCCGCGGTAAAGTAACTTTTGGAGGTGCTTTCAACTGAGTCTAGAAATGGTTAAACGAATTTTGATTGGATAAGTGGAGTCTGTCAATTTTGGCATAAATAACAACACATAAATAATACAATAC